AATAAATAAATAATTAAAAAAAAAAAACTATGACTGGGGGCTGGGAAGATAGCTCAGTAGAATAAGTGCTTGCCTGGAAAGTGTAAGGCCCTGAGTTCAATCCCTGGTTCTGCCAAAAAAAAAAGGGATTGGGCCAGGGACATGGCTCAGTGCCTGCCTAGTAAGCGTGAGGCCCGGAGTTCGATTCCCAGTACCAAAAAGAAAATAGTAAAAATAAGACCAAAAAAAGTTCCTTTGAAAAAAAAAAAAAACTATGACTGGAGGTCTCATTTGGGCAGAAGTAGCAAAGCAACCAACGGACAAAACAAGCCCATCTGTCACTTATATTGTGTCCAGGCCCCTGGAACTAGTGTAGTGCCAAGCCAATCAGTAGATTCAATAACCAGCCACCCTTAATCCTAGTACCCTTAATCTTTTTTTATATATGTAAGTATGTATGTTTTTGGTATAGAATCTTGCTGCGCAGCTCAGCTCTAACTTGGACTTACAGTAATTCTCCTGTCTCAGCCTCCCCAGTGCTAGATTATAGGCATACACCACCACACCCAGTTTTGGTGGCTGGCACAGCCCTGGGTTCCAGGGCCAGCATGACATACAGAACTGGGGATCAAACCCAGGTCCTTTGCTTGCCAGGCAGCCACTTAGACCACCGAGCTATCTTTCCCAGCCCAATCTTAGTATGCTTAATCCCAGCACTTCACCATGAATCAATCACACACTCCAGATTCAACCACCTATGCAAAAGTTGTCCCACCTATGATCACATGGGGCCTGGGGTGGGGGGCCAGCCATAATATCCAGTAACAACAGCATACTCTAGAGCTCATATATTCATTTTTCTTAAAAGACAAGACACTACATAACATCACAGTGGCCTTGAACTCACTTTGTAGCTCAGGCGGGCCTCAAATTTATGATAATCTTTTTATGAGGCTTGCCTCAGTCTCCCAACTGTGAGAATTACAGTTATGTGCCAACACATACGCGAGACACTAATTTTAAATAGCATCTCTAGGGGGCTGGTGAGATGGCTCAGTGGTCTAAAGCACCTACTTAGAACAAGCTTAGCAAAGCACAGGGACCGCATTTCAATCCCCTAGCACCACATGCCAGCCAGCCCCACCCCCTGGTGGGCTGAGCTGGTCACACACACACACACACACACACACACACACAAATAAATAAAATAGCATCTCTAATAAAGGTAACAGGGTACCCAGAAGAAACAGATAAATCCAGGCTGGGGAGATGGCTCAGTGAAATAAGTGCTTTCCTGGCAAGTGCAAGGGCCTGAGTTCGATCCCTGGTTCGGGGGGGGCTGGGGGGGGGAATGCCAGAAACAGATAACTCCAGAGCCAGCCAAAGTAAGTACAGGAGCCTGGAATAACTTGTGTGGCTAGAAACTGTGCAGTGGTAGTAGTGGTGACAATGCTCAAGAAATGACAGGCTCATGTCACAAAGAACAGTCATCTTAGAGGGGATGCCACTAGGCAAATCTCAGACATGAAACATCAAAATAAATTACATGATTGGGAGAAAGAACAAGTTTATCTTATAATGCCATTAAATATGTCTAAAAGGTGCTTACATAATGTGATTATACTTATTTATCACTGAGTTATACCCTTAAAAAAAAAGTTAAGCGGGACAAATTTTATGTAAACATTACCACAATCACATAGTAGCAATTTTTTTTTTCTCTTTGATTATTTTGAGGCAGGGTCTCACTGCACAGTCTAAGGTGGCCTTGAATTTATTATATAGCTCAGATTAACTTGAATTTATAAAGCTTTTCCTGCCTAAACCTCCCAAGTGCTGGGATTGTAGGCATGTACCACTATGCCCTTTATTTTTCAAAAGAAATCTTAAAAGGATGTTAAAAGTACTACATCAAAAATTTGAGCGCTTGACTGGCAAACGCAAGGATCTGAGTTCAATCCCCGGTTCCACCAAAAAAAAACCCAAAAATTTGATGACTGGGCTGGGGAGATAGTTCGGCAGTCTGAGTGCCTACCTGGCAAGCACAAAGACCTGGGTTTGTTTCCCAATACTGTATGCCATGCCAGCCCCAGACCCCCAGCCTGCTTCGCAGGTCACCAAAATTAGGCACAGTAGTGTATGCCTGTAATCCCAGCACTAGGGAGGCTGAAAACAGAAGAATCACTATGAGTCCAAGCTGCATAGTGAGACCCTGTACCAAATAAATAAATAAATAAATAAATTTTTAAAACATTTGATAAAGCACTGGGTGTGGTGGCATATGCCTGTAATCCCAGTGCTGGGGAGGCTAAGACAGAAGGATCACTAAGAGTCTGAGCTGTGTAGTGAGACCTTGTACCAAATTTTAAAATATGATGAACAGAATACATATTTATATAGTCTGAGAGTAAATTACCACAGAATATTACTTACAAATTAATTTGTATAAAATACACAACTATGGGGCTGGTGAGATGGCTTAGTGGTCTAAAGCACCTACTTAGAACAAGCTTAGCGAAGCACATGGACCACGATTCAATCCCCCAGCCAACACATGCCAGCCCGCCCCACCCCCTGGTGGGCTGAGCTGGCCACACACACACACACACACACACACAGAGAGGCTCACACTACAATCCCAGCACTAGGAAGGCTAAGACAGGAGGGTTCCAAGTATGAACCCAGTTTGGGCAATTTAGTGAGACCCTGCTTCAAAAAAAAAAGGGCTGGAGATTTAGCTCGGTAGAAGAGCATACCTTGGATTAATCCCCAAACCCAGTACCACCAAAGAAAAAATGATACAGGGATGGACACAGATACACTGGCCAAAAGTTATTAGTATAGTATAGCTGTATTAATATCAGACAAAACAGACCTGAAGCAAAAAGAGGAAAAGATAATTTACCAGAATGACATTACTATATTCTGAATTTATATGTATATAAAATCTTACATGTGTTTAGCAATTTGATACACTTATGAGGAAATACTTAATAAAAGACCATCAGGCCAAGGGTGGTAGAACACATTTGTAATCCCAGCACTCAGGGTTCGCTCTGAGTTTAAGGTCAGCCCGGACTACACAGTAAACTCAAGGTCAGCCTGAACTGGTCAACAAAGAACCTGCCTAAAAAAAAAAAAAAAAATCATCAACCAAAGCTTTGATTAACTTTCTTTTTTATTTATTTATTTATTTTTTGGTGGAACTGGGGATTGAACTCAGGCCCTTGTGCTTGCTCTACTGAGGCATCTCCCCAGCCCCATAACTTTCTTAATAAATGGTAGATTAAGGAGATAAAAATTAAAGAAATACAAGAATTTAAGAATGTCAGTTATTAGTCATCATAGAATCTGAACTCAATGAACAGAGACCAAACTTAGGAGATGAATTTTCCAATATACAAAAAAAACACTTTTAAAAAAGTGAGCACCAAAAAAAAAAAAAAAGTGAGCACATAGCAAGCTTAAGAGGAAGTCTTCAAAAAGGCTGCCAACCAACCAATACTCCCTATGTTCTACAAAAAGAAAGAGAAGAAAAAAAAAAAAATAGGGCCCAGGGAGATGGCTCAGTAGAATAAGTGCTTGCCTGGCAAACACAGGGTCCTGAGTTCAATCCCCAGTACCGCAAAAATAAATAAATCAATAAATCAATACATAAAATAAAATAAAAAAGAAAGATAAGAAAAACCCAGATACACACCAGAATCTTTAAGGACAGTACAATTAACTTTGGAGCAAATAAAGCTAACTACGCTTCTTCAACCTAAAAATTAAAAGCAACACCAATAACACTTCCGAACAGCAATATATCTACATAGCTTCTATATAGCTCAAAGAAAAAATTGTGACAGAAAACATCTGAAAATTACAAAGATGTATAGAGATCACTGTGCTATATTCTAATTTTCAGTAACTTGAAATATTTCAAAATTTAAAGAAGAAAAAAATGTGGATAATATAACAAGATACTATTGATTTGTTTCCTTAACATTGTGGCACTTTCAGGCAGTATTAAAAAGTCCTAGAGAGTTCAATGAACACAAAGAGCCATAGTCCAATAACTTGGTTTCCTCCACATGGCCCAAGTTGTAGCGCCTTAAGTGTTTTCTCTGAAAGATCCTGAGGGAAAATGATTACTTGGTTCAATAATCTAATTTGGTTTCAAATAATTGACTTTGTAATACTCAAATCTACCCAAAACATTACAATTTCGTAACATTGTTTCCCATGGTAAACTATGGGCTTTAAGGAACTACTAAAAGACAAAAAATGTTCTGAAAAAGAACAGGATAAATACTACTTTTGTCCTCATTCTGAGTCACACACCAGCCCCAAAAGCACTACCTGAAGAGATGGCTATTATCTGAATAAGCTTTGCTACATGCCACTTCAAAAACATTTCACAATCTAAACTTTACAGAGATAGTGTATTATGTGAAAAGGCTTCTAATCTTATTGTAGATGAAATGGTCAAAACTTTTCAGTTAGTTCAGCCTTATTTTTTTTCTTTTGGGCAGAACCAGGGATTGAACTCAGACCCTTGCGCTTGCCAGGGAAGCACCTATTCTATTGAGCCATCTCCCCACACCCGGTTCAGCCATATTTTACTTCTTAAATTTTTTTTTTAAATTTTATTTATTTGTGTGTGTGTGTGTGTGTGTGTGTGTGTGTGTGTATGCGCGTGCACGTGTGTGGGGGGGGGCCAGCTCAGCCCACCAGGGGGCGAGGCTGGCTGGCATGTGGTGCTGGGGGATTGAACCGCGGTCCCTGTGCTTTGCTAAGCTTGTTCTAAATAGGTGCTTTAGACCACTGAGCCATCTCACCAACCCCTTTACTTCTTAAATTTGATAGTTAATTTTAACTGCCAAACTTATATTACATATAAGGTAATACAAAAATGTATTTGTCTCCTAAGGTATATTGGTAAAAGGACATACAAATTTATGCACAAATATCAAAATAATGAAATGATAGCTTAAGAACTATGTCGAGTGCATTAGATATAAAGAAAATATGTGTACCCAGATTAACTCTGTGCTGTTTCTCTTCTTCACTTCTGAGAAAAGTGTCCAGAGTACGCAGGTCAGTCATGTAGTCCTCCTTATCAGTAGGTGAGTTGTAGATGCTGGGTGAAGAACGATAGCGGGACCTCAAGCCACTGCTCTCCACTGGGCCAACCGTGGTAGGGTATGGAGAAGGAGGAGAGGAGGTAAAGCCTGCCAACTACACAAAATAAATTGATTTTAGCTTCTTTAAATTTTATTTTAGATTTTTTTGAATTTTAAAGAGTGACACACCTGCTACAATGGTCAAAATCCAAGAACACCTATAGCACCAAATACTGATGGGGTTGCAGAATGATGGAACTCTCATTCATTCCTGGGGGGAATGTGAAACAGTACAGCTATTTTAGTACAGCTGCACAGTTCTTTGCAAAGTGAAATATCTTAGGGGCCAGGGAGATAGCTCAGTAGAATAAGTGTTTGCCTGGCAAGTGCAAGGGCCTGAGTTCAATCCCCGGTTCCACAAAAAAAAAAAAAAAAAAGTGAAATATCTTAACATACCATCTAGCAGTTGCGCTCTTTGTTATACTTACCTAAAGGGTGCTAAAAACCTATGTCCACACAGAAAATTATACATGGATATAATAGCTTTATGACAGCTTTTCTCCTTATAGTTTATAATATCTTTACTCCTAATATTTCAAAACTTGAAACCAAGATATTCTTCAGAAGATAAAGAGTTTTAAAGCGATGCAACTAGAGGCTATACTTATAAGTGAAATAAATCAGACCCACATATGTAAATATAATATTGTCTCCCTAGTGTAAGAACCTAAAAGAATAAAATCTGAAAGGTAGGACAGATATTGTAAAACAGAAAGAAACTGAACATAAGGATTAAACAATGAAGATGAGGGAAAGGAGAAAAGACAGGAAAAAAGGCGAAAAATCATACAAGTATATATACAGGATGGCTGAGATGCCTATACTAATACTTTCATCAGTTTTTTTTTTTTTTTTCAAATAGCAGTTAGTATTTAGAATTTTCACTTTGACTAACTCTGTATGCTGATATCTACGATCTGAGCAACTATATTGAGGACAGCAATGTGCAATACAAAAACCAAGGTTGAATACCTCTCATCTTGTTCTTCTAAATTTGAACCATTTCTAATCTGTTATCAATTATAAAGTTCTCTTTAAAATAAATTTTAAATAGTAAAAAAACAAGTAAAAAATAAGGCATATTGAAAGCAAGCATTAATCTTCAATTATCTGTCCAACGTTGCATACCTGCATGTTAATGTAACAGGTTTGAAAATAAAAATAATGTAATATAACCGTTAAAAAAAAAAAAATTGGGCTGGTGAGATGGCTCAGTGGTCTAAAGCACCTACTTAGAACAAGCTTAGCAAAGCACAGGGACCAGGGTTCAATCCCCCAGCACCACAAGCCAGCCAGCCCCGCTCCCTGGTGGGCTGAGCTGGACACGGACGGACACACGGACACAGACACACGGACACACACACACAAATAAATAAAATTTTTTAAAAAGAATTATATAATTCAAAAAAAATAATAAAAAATATATATATAACCGTTAACTTGTTATTGATTTGAAAATTTGTAACATGTGTATTATATGTTGCTCTGTTTGTCTTTGTTTCTATTCTTACTTTTTTTTTCTCTTCAAAATGAAGTAAAATTAAAAACAGGTACATTTATTTGGGCTTTCCTTATCCTTACAATGTTAAGCATTATAATACAAATTACTGGCCTCCTATTTACTAATAGTTTCTTTCTATTGGATTTCATAACGAAGTCATGTTAACTGATAATTAGTGTAGTGGTTTATATTTTTAGCTAACATATTAAAACCTTTTATGTTATCATTGCACTGGGGATGCTACTGCATTGCTACTTTAGTGTATATACTACATATATTTTTTTAAATAACTAAGCAGGGTAGACACCTAGTCCACTGAGCTATCTCACCGGCCCCCAAGAGGTGTATTTTAATTATTAAGTTAACATCTAGGGGCCGGGGAAATGGCTCAGTGGAATAAGAGCTTCCCTGGCAAGTGCAAGGGCCTGAGTTCAATCCCCGGTTCCACCAGAAACAAAACAAAAAAGCTAACATCTATAGCAGTGGTGGAACCTATGGCACACATGCTGCAGAGGGCTGTTTGCATCACTGAAAGCTCTTGAAGGTTCCATATAACCTCTAACTCAAAACCTCCCAGACTGTTTTTCTGTATTAACTTTAAAGTCAAAAAGTAACCTTCACAGAACTACAAAAAAAAAAAAAAAAAAAAAAAAGTTATTTGAAGGGCCAGCCAAGTAGCTCAGCAGATTAAAGTGCCTGCAAGCAGGGGCAGGGGCTTGGGGTTCAATCCTTGGGCCTGCCAGGCTGGCCCTGCCCGTGGGGTGCACTGAGACAGCAATTGAGACAGGGCGTAGCAGTGCACGCCTGTAATCCCTGTTCTTGGGAGGCTATAAACAGGTAGATCACTACAAGTCTGATCTAGTAGACCCTGAACACCCTGTAGACCTTTCCATAAAATACAAAAAAAAAAAAAAAAAAAAAAGTCATTGGAGACTTTGGCTGGAATTTTAAGTTATATGGAGAAAAGCTTTATAACAGTATCTTTTTACCCAAGAAAATGTTCTCTCTTCACTTAGCATCATTTATATTTCTTAGGATTATTTATTCATTCATTCACTCCTACTAGTCCTGTATACCCTGCATACTTACTGTTTTCTCTCTTTTTTTGATACTGGGGATCAAACTCAGGACCCTGCGTTTGCCAGGCAGGTGCGCATGCTGTTAAGCTATCTCCCCAGCTCTACCCTGCATACTTCTAAAGCTCAATGAATACTCTCAGACATTTCTGTGATAATGGAAATTGGTAAAATTCCCTTGGATTTGGATTTTTGCTACCTGCCTCCTCCAAATTACCAAGAACTTTATGTACTGCGATATTTAGAATTAGCAAAAGTTTTTAAAAATTAAAAAAAAAAAAATACTCAAGATTAAACTATGGTATCTTGGATTCTAATTTTAAAGAGAAAAAGAAAACAGTCTTGCAGCTGGTGAGATGGCTCAGTGGTCTAAAGCACCTACTTAGAACAAGCTTAGCAAAGCACACGGACTGCGGTTCAATCCCCCAGCACCACATGCCAGCCAGCGCCGCCCCCTGGTGGGTTGAGCTGGCCACACACACACACACACACACACACACACACACACATATAAATAAAATTTTAAAAAAAGAAAACAGTCTATAGCCAAACCACCCTGAACACCCCTGATCTTGTCCAAAGAGAAAAAATAAATAAATCAAAATTTCAAAGTAGGAGTAACATTAATACATTGTGTATTACCTTTAAATTACTCAGAGAACGAAATATAGGCATTTAATTGTCCAAACAATATTAGCGCTATGAGTGCAAATCTTTCTTTACAATATACTTTTTTTTTTGCTTTTTCCCTATCCCAGTTTTTCCTTTCTGCTGAGCAATTTCTTCTCACTTCACAATATCTACAGTACATTTTGGATCTTAACTCTTTTAGCTTCTCTCCCTAGGGAGACAATACAATGTTTACCTATTGAGTCTGACTTATTTCACTTATGAGTATGGTCTCAAGCCACACCCATTTACCTATAAAAGTATCCAGTTTATCCACTGTGGCTGAGTAGTACTCCATTGTATAAAAAGTCCACATCTTTTTATCCATGCCTTGGTTGATGGCCATTTGTTTCCAAGAGTTAGTTGGGACAAACTGCACTGCTATGAACATGAATGCACATATATCTCTGTGATATATTGTTAACTCTTCTAGGAAGATACTCAGCAGGGGAATAGCTGAGTTGAATGGGATCTTTAAGTCTGGTTTTTAAAGCAATATCCACACTGATTTCCAGAGTGGTTATACCAGTCTATACTCCTATCAACAAAGAAGGGTTTCTTTTTCCCAATAACCCCTCCAGTATTTGTTACTAGTTGATTTCTTTCTTTTTGCGGGGATTGAATTCAGGACCTTCCACTTGCCAGGCAGGCACCTGTGCTGCTGAGATATATATATAATCCTGTCCCTCCCCTTCTTAGATTTTTTAATTTAAATTTAAATTTGTACTTATTTATTTTTGATTTGATGTCTTGATAATAGCCTAATAGCCATTTTGGTACTGGGGAGATAGCTCAGTTGAATAAGTGCTTGCCTGGCATGTGCAAGGACCTGAGTTCAATCCCCAGCTCCACAAAAAAAAAAAAAAAAAAAAAGATAATAGCCATTTTTCCGGGGGTGAGAAATTTCAGCCTTATTAAACAGATTATTTTGGAATGGTAGGACTATTTTCTATAATAATCATATAGTGCTTTTCTTATGGTAGTATTTACCTGTGGATTAATAATTATCAATATATACACGTACTTTCTCCTAGCATTAAACTTACACAAAATTTTCTAAATTCATTTTTTCTTTTTTTATGGTACTGAAGATTGAATCTAGGGCTTTTGCATTGAGCTACATTCCCAGCTCTTTTATTCTTTATTCCAAGGCAAGGTCTTGCCAATTTTCCAAGGAAGAACTTGAATTTGGAATACTCCTGCCTTGGCCTCCTAAGTGCTGGGACAGTAGCCATGTACTACTGTACCAGGTAATTTTCTAAATTCTATTACATGACAAGCTAGCTGGACATGGTGGTGCATGCCAGTAGTTGCAGCTCTCAGGAGGCTGAGGCAGGAGGACTGCAGTTAAGTTCAAGGCCAGGCTCAATTACATAGCAAGTTCAAGGCTATCCCGAACTACACAGTGAGACCTTGTCTCAAAACGTAACAACAACAACAAAACAAACCAGAGGGCCTGCTAGTTAGCTCAGTTATTTAAGAACCTACTCATGCAAATGCAGTCAAGCACAGGAAAACCACGGTTTGGTTCAATCCCCACCTCCACCTGCCTTACCAGACCTGCCCTTAAGGTAGCCTGAGCCAGCCTAAAAAAAAATCAAAAAATAACAAAAAAAAGATTTAAATTCTATTATATGCTGAAAATGATTTTAATATTGGGTAACAAGTACCATGGAATTTCATTACAAAGAGAGATGCTTTAAAAGAAGACAGGCAGAGCCAGCGATATAGCTCAGTGGCATAACTGCCCACCTGGCAAGCAAAGGGTGCTGAATTTGACTCCTCTCCCACATGCCAAAAAAAATAAAGGTTTGGTGGCACATGCTGTACTCCCAACATCCATGAGACTGAGGCAGGAGGATCACCTTATGTTCAAGGACAGCCTGGACTACATAGTGAAACACAGTCTCAAAAAATCCAATGTATAAATTAAAAGAACAGACACACAAAATAACAAAATCAAATCAAAATGTAAATCTATAAATTTTGTGTTACTAAGGGTAAAAGTCAAAACCCAAATTTTCGTGGAGCTTGAAATGAAGGTTTGCACTCATCCATGGAAAGTGTTCATAGTCCCGTGTCAAGCCATATGACAATCCAGTCTTATTCTGGATAAAAACCAACATGATAAAAAGATTACAATTTCCTAAATGTAAACACAGGTTTCACGTAAAGCAGCAAAAAGGGGAAAACATGAGTAAAAGAAACTAAAGTAAAAAAATAGATTTCTCATTAATAAAATGAGAAGCTTTTTTTTTTTTTTTTTTGGACAGGGTCTCTTACTATGTAGCTCAGGCTGGCCTCTAGCTCACAGCAATACCCTTGATGAAATTACAGTGTGTGCCATCACAGAGAAATAAAATGAGAAGTTCTGGGCTGGTGAGATGGCTCAGTGGTCTAAAGCACCTACTTAGAACAGGCTTAGCAAAGCACTGGGACCACAGTTCAATCCCCCAGCATCACATGCCAGCCAGCCCCGCCCCCTGGTGGGCTGAGCTGGCCACACACACACACACACACACACATAAATAACAAATTAAAAAAAAAAAAAAAAAAGAAAAAGTTCTGGGCCAGGGAGATAGCTCAGTAGAATAAGCACATGCCTGGCAAGCACAGAGGCCTGAGTTCAATCCCCAGTACTGCAAATTAATTAATTAATTAATTAATTAAAATGAGAAGCTCCAACTCACAGGATGATTTTCAATGGCATACCTCCCAAATTCTAAAATAATGTGCTGGCTAAAAGAGAAGTGCTATTACCTTATTATAACCACTGACTGGTGAGTAGGTCACTCCAGGGCTGTATGAACTACTGCTGCCTGAGGACATGCTTTGCAGTTGAGGGCTGTATCCAGTTATACAGCTGGTGGTGAACTTGGGACTGGCACTTGGTGAACGAGATGGGCTGTAACTCAACACGCTCTGCCCCTGAATGGAAGGGGAAGGTGTAGAGGGAGGGATCTGGGTGGCTGTTAGATCATGTGGAGGAGTAGTCTGTACAACTAGAAGGGAAAGAAAAAACAAAATAAATATCTACATACACATATACTTTTAAACAACTTTCATAAATGCAGATTTAAGGATTTTTTTGGGGGGGCGGGGGCATTCTGGAAGCAGAAGCTAGGACCTCTGCACTAGCTATATCCTCTCCTAGCCTGTTTCTGAGACACAGTCTGCTGACACTGACTTGAACTTGCAATCCACCTATCTCAGCCTTCCAGAGGGCATGGGCCACCACACTCAGTTCCAACTGTTTTTTTCCCTTTCAGGAAAAAAAATAAAGTACCAGAAGGGCTTGATTCTTAAATTAATATATTACTAAAGGACAACAATTAGTCATTTGTTCTTTCCATGGAGTTCAAAATAAAAAACTGACTTTCATCCAGCAAGAGAGTCACTTAATTTAAGGAACCAGTAGAATAAACTTCCATTAGGTTGCTGAATGTTAGTTTTAACATTAAGAATGATAACCATCAGTCTTAAGAAAATGTACTGTTTAATATAGTTGAACTAGACAGTCTTGGAAATCCCTTCCAGATCTGTCTATGAAAAGGGAAAATTAAAAAATATTTGTTGCTGACGTTCTCCTTACAAGAGATAGAGCATATAGAACACTCACCACCAGTTGTTTTCAATCCTAAAAGTGTTTGCTGTCCAGGACTAACAATGAGACTTGTTGGTGCCACAGTATATTTGAAGTATCTCCAAAAATCAAACAAGGCATTAAGGCTGAAGAGAGATGCAAGAGCAAGTTCTGGAAGACAACAATTTAATTTTTATTTATTGTCTTTGAGATGGAGTCTCACTATGCAGTTCAGGCTGGCCTTGAGTTCACTTTGTAGCCCAGGCTAGTCTGGAACTCACAATACCTCCCTGCCTCAGCCTCCAGAGTACTGGGATCATAGGCGTGTGCCACCACAGCCAGTTTCAGCAATGTAGTTTTAAAATAGTGGTGGAGGACATGTATTGGTGGAGAAACAAAACCCCTTCATACTTTAGCACATTAATAAAATTGAAAACTACCTTCTTATTCTTCCAACAGCTAACATTTAATGAATATGTATTAGGTGCAGGGCATTTATTGGAAGTACCAAACGATCACCAACCCTTACCACCCTATTTTCACTTTTTTTTTGGTACTGGGACTCAAACTCAGGACCTTGTGCTTGCCAGGCAGGTGCTATGCCACTGAGCGGTATCCCCAGCCCACCCTTACTTTAATAATGAATCAAGTCATGGAGAGACTAAGTGACCTTTTATTGGGATTGGGGACTAGACGCTGAGATATACTTCCAGCCCCTGCATCCCCCTTTGATTGCTAAGTTGCCCATGTGAGGCTGGAACTTGCAACCCACCTGACTCAGCCTCCTAGGGTGGTAGGTTATAGGTATGTATCACATCTGGCTTTAAATGATTTTTAGTATACAGCTAGTAAGACATGATTCTGAATCAGTCTGCAGATTCCAAATCCCTCCCACTTGTCAGGTTAGTTCCCATAACAGGCTCTGCATTAATCTGTACAGGCTATGAAATTTAACATCATAAGAACTTTCCATGCCTAAGGATTATGGAAGAGGAGACAGAGAAGTGGAAGGAAAGAGGAAATTAAGGAAGGCACCCATAGAGTAGAAATCTGGGCTGATTTTGAAAGCTGAAAATGTGGAGACAGTATGTCAAGAGCAACAAATACAATTCTTATCCTCACATTTTATCTTGTTTCACAGAACTCATAATTATCTGTAACTGTATTTTTAATTTGATTGTCTCCTCTCCTAGAATGTTTCTTCCAAAAGAGGGTTTTCATTTGTTCCCTTCCAGCTAAACTCCCAAACTGGGAACAAAGTAAGTATGCAGCATTTGTTCAATGAAGGAATGAATACTAAGCTGAATTAAACTGGCCAACAGGGGCCAGGGAGATAGCTCAGTGGAATAAAGACTTGTCTGGTCAAGCACAAGGTCCTCAGTTCAACCCCCAGTACTGCAAAAAACAAACAAACAAACAAACAAACTGGCCAAGAAAGTAGGGCATGACAGCACAGGCCTGTAATCCCAGCATGGAGGGACTGAGGCAGGAGGATCACTGCAAGAGTTTGAGACCAGCCTGGACTACAAAATGAGCTCAAAGTCTACCTGAACTGCATAGCAAGACACTGTCTCAAAACAGACAATACATAACCCTGCCAGCAAGTTTTTCATTAGTAATAAATCTAAATTTTAGGAAATTACTTACCAATATACCAGAGGGGCCAGTATGACACATTATAATATGAACTAATCAATTTTCCAGTCCTGAAAAAACAAAAAAAGGCTTTTCAATTAACTTTTAAAAAAACCTAAAAATCAAAACCACCACAAAGAAGTTCTGAACCAGCCACTGGCTGCTTAGATTTTCACCTTCTTTTGGGTGATTAACTTACATTTCAGTATATATCATTCCAGCCATAGACACATTTAGAAGGCCCCAGGCTAAAACTACTTTCCTAGCTTCAGTTTCTTTTCTCATCTTGATGGTTCTGTCAATAAGGGAATTACTAGGGCTTGCCTCCCGTTGCATCTACTCAAAAGAAAAAGCACAGGAATTAATCAAAAGAAACTACTCCGTTTAAGAGACCAAAACATCTTCATAAAGAAAAACTGCATATACTTTTCCTCATCTTTAAAATGTTTGGCTTTTTTTTTTTGATGGTAACAGGGACTGAACTAAAGACCTTGTGTTTGCCAACCAAGTGCTTACGCCGCTGAGCTACATCCCCAGCCCTCTTTAAAATGTTGTCATTTTCCCCATTTAATATTGGCACATGAGGGGGCAGAGATAGCTCAATGGAATAAGTGTTTGCCTGAAGGACCTGAGTTTGGTCCCTGGTACCACCAAAAAAATAATAGTAGTAGTAGTACATGAAAAGGGAACCAAGTTATACTTCTCAGAGAACCAGCCAGTTATTTCAAGCAATTTAATACTAACAATAAATTAAATTGCCATATTTTACAACGTAAGGATTGGTTTTTGCCTGCAAATAAATACTCCACGTTTTGTCTCCTAGAATGTTTCTTCCGAAAGAGTCTTCATTTCTTCCCTTCCGGCTGAACTTCCAGACTGGGAACAAAGTAAGTATGCAGCATTTGTTTAGGAAGGAATGAATACTAAGCTGAATTAAACTGGCCAGCAAAGTAGGGCATGGCAGTGCAGGCCTGTAATCCTGTAAGTAACTTAAAAAACAAAAAAAAACTAAAGATCAAAACCAACACAAAAAGTTCTGAACCAGCCACTGGCTGCTTAGATTTTCACCTTCGTTTGGGTGATTAACTTACATTTCAGTATATATCATTCCAGCCATAGACACATATAGGAGACCCCAGGCTAACACCACTTTCCTTTGTTGTATGGACTAGACAGAGGGTTACTTTATGACAAAATATCGTTTTACAAGAATTTACAATGGTAGTAGTAGTACATTAAAAGGGAACCATTTGTATCCTGTAAATCGAAAGGCTGTTCTCTGACACCCCCATGCAGAAGCCATTGCTGGGTCTGCACCTCAGCACTCTCCACTCCACATGCCCCAGCTAGGCTGCTCCATTTTGTGTGTTAATTAGTAAGGGCAAGAGGGTACCCACGGTGTGAAGGAACGAGAGTTAAGAATGGGGACGGCGCATTCCGTCCGGCACCACATTGGGAGCTGCTGCTTTTCCTTGTTTCCCCAGACCTAATTCTTACACACAACTGGGAAACCTGCTCCAGCCACCAGGAGCAGCAGCCCAGACCAGAGGAGCCCGCACGCCGCCACCCTGCCCGGGTTCTGAGGGCTTCCCTCCTGGTGCCTCGGTACAAACTTTGTCACCCCTGTCCCTTCCTTCCTCCTTTCCACTACAAGTGACGGCATAAGAGACACATTCTCTTTTGGCTGAATCCCAAGCACATCAGTTAGGTGCGGAACTCTGAAAGCCCGCGTGGAACTCACGCCCAGGAAGCACAAAAATGTTCCCCCCAAACGCACCGTGATCTTCAGCCGGAAGAGGCAGGCTCCCGCCACTCCTACTGCACATGCGCAAAGGCAAGCGCCGAGGAAACGCCATAGACTGGCGGGTCCACGGGTACCGGAAGAACTGGGTTGTCTCCTCTCGCGAGAATGAGAAGGCGCAGGGGGGCGGAGCTAGCAGCTTTACTATGGAAACAAGCTTACGAGTTTGTGGTTCCCTATGGGGTTTCAGGAGAACCCTGAGCCTCAAAATGTGGGCAAGGCTTTAACCCCCAGTAAAAAATATTTTTTAGAAAATGAATTTTGTTTATATTACTATAATTTTAGCTTCTTTTGGGTGCTTCCGGGCTCGCATTTCTAAGCAGATTTTAGATGGGTGATTTTGAGGGCTAGATGCAGTGTGCGCGGCAATGTGTCCAGACATTGGCAATGACAAAGTATTACTTGCTGTAGTTAAAATGTGTATTTCCCTTAATTATTTTACCCAGTGGTTTTTTTTTTTTTTTTCAGACAAGATCTCACTATGCAGTTAAGACTTGTCTGAAATACTGGGGATTACAGACACATCCCCACATCCAGCTCTCAGTGTAAATTATTTTTGTCTTTTTGAGACAGGTTCTTGCTATGCAGTTCCGGCTGATCTCGAGTTCACTGTAGTGCAGGCTGGTCTCGCAAAGATCCTCCTGTCTCAGCCTCCCTAGTGCTGGGATTAGAGGCATGCACAACCACGCCCAGCTCCAGTGTAAATTCTTAAATATCCATGGATGAGGGTACAGCAGTAACACAACAACCAAACCAATTTATTTTATTGAAGTAGTAGTTTTAACATTGAAAACAGAAACTTCCTCCTGAATCCCCCCCTTTTTTTTTTTTTTTTTTTTTTTGCGGAACAGGGGATTGAACTCAGGCCCTTGCACTTGCCAGGGAAGTGCTTATTCCACTGAGCCATCTCCCTGGCCCCTGAATCCTCTTTAAACTTGTTTTTCCCCCCTTTTAATGGGGCCTGAACCCAAGGCCTGCCCACTGAGCTACCTCCCCAGTTCTTTTAAATTTTACTTTGAATAGGGTCTCAGTAAGGTGCCCAGACTGGACTCAAACTCAAAAGCTTCTCCTTGCTTCAGCTTCCCAAAGTTGTGTGCCACCCAACCATGCCCAGGAGAACCTGTAATTATAGATAGCTAAGTTATTTAGAAATATTGTGGGGCTGCGGAGATAGCTCAGTAGAATAAGCGCTTGCCTAGCAAGTGCAAGGTCCTGAGTTCAATCCCCAGTTCTGCAAAAAAAGAAATATTGTGTGCATTCAGACAGGGAGTGATAAGCCCTGGAAAGGTCAGTGAAGACAACTATGGCTGGAGACTCATTTATTGAAGGCCAAGCTTCAAGAAAAAAGGAGGACTACACCCATGTACTTCCCCTAGGAAATGGTCAGCAGTGATTGATATTCTAAGTAGGCGTCAATCACCTTGGGTGGAAAGGCGTTTTCTTCGGGGCCTAGGGGCACACACCTGTAATCTCAGCACTCAGCAGGCTAAAGCAGGAGGATCCTTGCAAGTTTGAGAGCAGCCTGGGCTACAAAGTGAGCTCAAGACCACCCTGAACTGCATAGGAGACCTGGTCTCAAAAAGGAAAAAAAAAAAAAAAGAAAGTCCTTATCTTTTCTGTGTGCACTTGATACATGAAGTCCTTATCTTTTCTGTGTGCACTTGATACATGACTTACTTCCCCACTGGATCCCCTTGCAATCAATATTACCTGTGTGCCAACACTTGTAATCTTAGTGGTTCACCATAGTTTTGTCCCATCTCACACCTACCTTGTGATTTCCCATTGGATCAGTGTTACCTAAGCAACTATAT